TCCCCTATATTTTATAGTCGAGGACATGACACTAATACATATGATTTATAGTTGGTGCTATTTTTAGTGATTAAATGGATCTCTTTCCTGATACCTCAGGTGACGGTGTGCTGAGTGATGACGCCTTGAGCAAAAATACCCTAAAAAACATCTAAGTGTACACTCCCTCGGTTCTATATTCTACAAATTTTGAATGAAGAAAAGTTTGCAAGGAAGAGCACACTGTTGTGAGGATTTAAATGACTTGTCAGATTTTCCTCTCCTGTGCTTCACTCCATCAAACTAGATGTAGATCATTCATGAGGACATAAAGACCGTGACACACATACACTTTAATTAGCTACTCCTAGCTCTCATTATGTCAGTTTGATATTGTTACAAACAAACCGTGTGTTGCAGAATTGTAGTGTATTTTGAATGTGTGACTAAGCTGTTTTTGCTTGCGCTTGCTTCTCACTTCTATCTGTGTTGCTGTGTGTTTGCCAGCGCGCAGAGGCAAATCTGTGGTTTTTCGAGGGAGGATGTGTTTCTTTTGGTGAGACAGCGACAGACAAATTAAAGATCTAGACAGATGGTGTACTGCAGGAAACCTTTGACTCAACCCATGTTTTTGTCAGGCAGCTCACAGTAGCCTTTCATCCTGCCTGTCAGCCAAGGAATGGAGACAAATAGAGAGCAGTTGTAACCCCTTTTGTGTTTAAAATGATCATCACCATGCTCGCAAGTATTCCTTGGGTAGTAGCTGTCACAAGTAAACAGAGATCTCCTCTAGGCTTCTTGATTACTAATTTTACATGCAGTCATTCTGGACACACTCACGTAATCTGTAAGTGACCAAGTGCTCAACAGATGCATTTAAGCATTCGAACTGGAAGCTCATATTCCATTTATGAGTTATTATGTCTGGATTGCCGTCAAATATAAAAGGGCCCTGCATGTCTTCCACTTCACTTTTGCCTTGCACCATCTGTCCAAACTCGGGCACCCTCTAGTACTTTGGTGTGAGCAAAAACATGGCGGCAGGCATCACAGGATATCATATCGTCATTTTTATCCTCTTTCCTGCGAGTATTTTACTATTGCAGAGTTAAATCTGTGTATTTTTTGTGGGCGGGATAAAGGCAGCTGAAGCTCAATGAGATGTAATGTAAGGTGAATATGACTATTACGAGTGTGTGCGTCTGTTCTTGTGGGTGCAGGTCAGCGTTAGGGTTTGTATTCAAGGGCCTAGCAGGGAAGCAGCTTTTGCATAACTTTGATAGGCCAATTAGGGCAGGATGACAGATGATGAGCTCCACAGGCAGACAGGGTCGTAATAGAGGGGAGAGAGAAAGCACTCTGTCCTGAATCTCTAATCTGTTCTGCTCTGTCCTCCCTCAAAGTTGCATACAGCGTAGTCACATCCTAATGATTCCTCTGATGAAAGCCTCCTTTTTGTTTTTATGTTTTGATCTGTTTGATCTTTGATCCAGATGGGGAGCAGGCCTTTTAGTTATTCTTCTTTGTTGTTGTGTTTGGCATCCTTTTGATTGTCTTGAGAAGAGCAGGAGTCTTGATATTAACATTTGAAAATCAAAGCATATCTTTTGAAGGTGCTCGATGCGTAATTCAGAGCATATCTATGATTGAAGGATCAACCTCACACGGTTTTCAACATGGAGACTGCTGAGCCAGCGACTAGCAGCTAGCGGGGCTAACAGCATGAACAGTGCAAGAACCATTGCTGACAGAGCCAACTGTTAACGTGGGGGGGGCCTGGAGGGTGGGCACAATGCTCCCACGACGACGCTGTGGGTTCAGATTAGGACGGCGTTATCAGCGTTAACCGCCATCTGAGCGCTGTGCAAACCGGCTGCCATTAGCTTGCCACTGGACCACAACAGAGAGACTAACATGCGCAAAATGATCTTTTAAAAGAAACTCCTATTCAACAATTACAGTTAGGTGGCATTGATATTTCTCTCTGCTAGGAAATACATGTTAATTACCTATCCACTGTTTATTTGTTTCCCTTAAAGGTCAACAGCAAACTCATTTTGTAGAAATGAGTTTGAAATGAGACACTTATTTACTGTCTATTATGTTCACAGAGAAGTGAACAAGTGTGAAAGCCACCGCTTATTCCGACTCCTAAAGTGCCCCACAGCAACCTGTGTGACATGACATTTGTGACACGTAAGAGCAGTCTACTCATGAGCAGAGATAACAGACGGCAACTCCAAACATAAAGCATGTCTCTTTCTTTCAACAGAAATGAAAAGACATCGAGTAAGACAAGAAATCTTTAGAAGTTGGCGGAAATCCAAGCAAGAAATGATGAAATATTTTGACAAAACATTGCCAGGCTTTTTTTGAAAGGTGGGATCGCTCTCATTCCATCTCATTAGCCTGTTTGCGCTCCGTCTTTCTCCGAAGCCGTCTGTCAGAGTACAGGCTTGTTTGTGTTTGTGAAGTATCTTTTGTCAAAGTGACAGATATTAAGGTCAGTACTGTATGAAAGGCACAACACTTCTCCCGTAAAAAGCTTGTTTTAACTTTCATGAACAGTGATTTTTCTGTGATACTGTCATCAGCTAAGAACAATCTTGTACGGAGGCTGTTTCAATTTTGATTAAACACGGGAGCTGTTCAAAAAACCTAACCACGGCCATTTCAACTTGCATATCAACAGTCCACCCTGCATGCAACAGTACATTCATTTTTATGTGCATTTTAAAGTATTATTTCGGAGAAAGAGTCGGCGCTAAAGTGGATATGGAAACGCCTTTGGAAAATAAATTCTGATGTAGCAAACATTTAATTAAAATGACCGATTCGCTGTTTCTGCTGTTGCCGTCTAAAATGCTGTTGCGATATTCCCATAACATGTGAATGCTGTCTTCGTCCCTGGGCACCACAAAACATGACCAATACTAGCTGACATGGAAGAAGAAATCGCCCAATTGAAACTAGTTCCTGAACACTTCTTGTTTTGTTTTCAGTTTGCAACCTCTACTTCTTCTACTCTGTTTGCTGGTGGCTTACAGCCAGGCCTAGCTTATACCATCAACTTCTGGCAAATCTATGCTGTAGCAGAGATTATTTGCTCCAAACCAGTCGATGGTTTGGAATTTAATTCACTTTTTTATATATTTTTTGCGACATTTCAGAGATTTGCTTAAAATTCACTTGGCAATTGAATAGTTTTTTGCGCCACTGCTCCTCAGCAATCTGGCACTCAGAGGGTGCAAGGAGTGATCAAGCATGAAGTTATTTCAGAGTCCTGCATTATACAGTACAATATTACCGTCCAAAAGTAACTAAGTAACGTGTTCAAAAGAAAAATGGAGCAAGAGCCCCATGCTCTGCTGAAGAAGAACAGATGCAGCATTGGTATGCAATGAGGGATTTCTACACTGACTGCATCTTCATCATGCCAGTGGGTGATAACCAGGGCATACAACTAGGCCAGTGCTGCCACTATACTACTACTGCTGAACACTATTGCAGACCATTTTGATTTGTTTTGAATCAATGTTGCATATCATCTAACAAAGCCTTTTCTAATCCAAGCTTATCTGAGCCAAACAATCCCACATTCAAGCCGGCAGGTGGTGAACATGATCTCGTATTAGAATGACTGTTGGTGGATTTGCTGTTCGAATTAGTTCTTCTCTTCTCTTCTCTTCCTCTACTCTCCTCTCCTCTTCTCCCTTTTTAATCTGTCCCATCAATTGCATACACAACTGGCATTTTAACCATGCAGTTCCACAGTCTCGCCAGCTCAGTAGAGCCCAGGGAGTGATAAGAGAGTGTCCCTAAATGAGAGTGACGTTGTTGTGAAGCGACGTGCTGAGCCTGTTTGGCTGATTTACATTGAAGTGAGCCACGTTTTTATGGCTATTGTGGATGAAATTAATTATGTAAGCTGTCTGCAGGGCTCATTTGCATTTCTTGATTGATTTCAGTCCGTTCTGTGTATTCCGCATGAGGAAAAATGAAGATGAGAGATGGGCATTCACGTCAGCATGTTGTCACTGAAATTACAGGTGTTTGCCCCCAGGAAGTTGTGCAGATAATTGCAAACATCTGTCTCTATGTACACCATGTATGAATCCTGTTTAAGTTTGCTTTGTCATGCATGCAGTTGTGCTTGTGACTTTGTTCATCTCTGAGTGTGTGTATCTACCCTGTTGGTGTCAAGCAGCGTGGTGGCTTCGTCTATCTATGAGCGATTATTTGCATCTGTTTGTTTTCTGTGTTAGTATGTGCGTGCCTGGGAGGGAGGTATACACACACACACATTCCCACATTGCCTTTTTCCTCTTTGTCTCTCCCTCTTCCCATGGCTCTCCCCTCTCCACGCCAGATAGCTTCTTAAATATCCAGCCGAATGCTAACAGAGCCTCTGTAAGCCTGTCTGTCTGTGTGTGTCTGCAGCTCTCCTCCAAACCAAAACGAACGACCCAGTTAAATAATAAGCTGAAGGCTAACAGAGGGACCCCATCAACCTCTGAGCTGTATCCTCTCTGAAGCCATCAATCGTGCGACTAAAGCTAGGCTGCATAATGACATTGTGGCAGTGTACTCGCGCTGTGCTGCAAAACATATTAATGTTAGCCATAATGAGTTTGACAGCCCAATATGGTTGTCAGGGATCAGAGAGGATTTCAGCTGGCAAACACTGCCCTCCAATGGAAGAGGGGAGCTATGGCAACTGCAGTAAAAGCTGCAGTGTGCTCTGGTTTTATGCAGTTGTGCAAATATTTTTCATTCTCCAGGATTGTTTTGAAGTGTTTTTGACTAATCATTAAAATGGCGCTCAGACACCACTCATTAACATACCTATTAGATATGCTCACACTTCTTAATGTTTCTCATTCATTCAGGTATGCTCGCTTCTGTAAGTATTTTACAAGGATTTGCAAATGTGTAGCTTTTGCGTCAGTGTGTGTACAGTGTGCTCTGTTACTGTATATGGCTCTATGCTGACATGCCTGTGTCTCCTGCCGTCATCCTAGAATCCTGGAGCTCCAGCAGAGCGGTGACATGGACATACTGAAAGTCAAGTGGTGGCCCAAGGACAGCCCCTGTGACCTCTACAGCTCAGTCCAGACACGGCAGCACGGCAACGCCCTGGACATCCACAGCTTCGCTGGCGTTTTCTGCGTGCTGGCAGCCGGCGTGGTGCTCTCCTGCCTCATTGCTATGGTGGAGAGTTGGTGGTCACGGAGGAAGGGATCCAGGGTCCCCTCCAAGGAGGTAGGGGGATGGATGGGTCACTGAGTAATGGTACAGAGAGAGGTATAGGGCCTATGATATATCCCATTTATTCTCCTATGTTGTCAGAGGGGAAAGAAGCAGTGTAACAGCTATATAAATAGGAAAAAAAGAGTGGACAGATTGGATGGATAATGGGTTCAGTTTCAGGTCTAGCCGAGCCAAGGAGAGAAGAGTGTGGAATCACTAAATAAGAAGTCTAGACTTTGTGACCAAGTAATGCTAAAGTTGAAAAAAAAAAAGTCCAATTCCTCAGTCAGGATGCATGAGGAAGAGAGAAATGAGCAGAGCCTTCCTTGTGATGGAGTTGTGACAATGACGGTGTTAGGGACCTTTGAAAACCTCCCATGTTCACAATGTCACTTTCCCTTAACTAAATTTGCACATAAGAAACAGTAGCAACACTATGCTGAAAGCACAGGCTGGAGCTGTATTCTTTGCCAGGCTTTTGCACATTCTGTCAAAAAGAAGCCTGGAGGTGCTATATTACATCTCCAGCGATTTAACCAGCATTGATCTTTTGCGTAGTCTCGTATATATATAAATCCCTGCTTATGTGGGAAGGAAAGGAAAGGTCAAACAGGACTTGAATGTTTTCAGAAGCCCTGAGAACATCGTGTTAATTTTCCCTTCTCACCCACAATCATGGTCTTAATAGACTGTCAGCTTGTAAAGCATCCTGTTATTAAATCTTTATTGTTTGCGTGGTAAAGTTTTACCATCAAATTATGAAAATGATTAGCCAAGGAGACATTATCTACCAAGAGCTAATTTAACTTAACTTACAATATTTGTAAAGGGTCTTCATTTTTCACCCACTTCTTAGTGCTCATTAGTCGATGTAAGTACCTCCATTCATACTGATGCCAAATAAGATATCTAACTTAATCTATGATGCAATATTAAATGGCCTGGTTAACATATCCGAGATACACTCACATTAAACACCCATACTCTCAGAGTTTAGGTACTATGAATGAGTTCATGTAGCTGCACGCGTTTACGGTCTAAGCATGTTTACATTGCGACTTTACACCTTGATAGAGCACAGTCACAGTCCAGATCCCCAATACGGATTGAAACTATTTACTCTATTGGCGCTATAATGTATTCATTATTCTGCTACTGCATACTCTCACCTCTTTTTTAATGTTTTATTGATGTTATTTTGATGTTGTCGATTCATTTAAAATGAGGCAAATGTGTCGGTGTCAACAGGGTAATCAACCTTATTTTTCTGAAAAGTGAATGTTTTGGAGAAAAGATGATAGTGGTTAAAAGCCGAATATAAAAACAGCCCGAGGGCCTGTTTGAGTGCTTCGTCGTGCCTTGACCAAGGCAGATTCAGAAACACTCACTCACAGTATTAAACATGGATGTGTATACCAGTGTTCTCTTCAAAACAGTGGCAACACTCCACCTTGTAAATTAGCAGCAGTGCTCTGTGAAATTTCCAATCAGCCTATATGCAATTATATCACCTCAGCAGGGATATAATTTAAGGCAATCAAAGGGACGCTGGCAACATCTTCCCCTCGTAGAAACCTTGCAGTCTGTTGTCATTTGGTAGCTTTGTTTGCTACACCGTAGACAAGACCGGTAACATCTTCAAAGAAAAACACAAATGGCTGCTCGTTTAGGAGCATTTCTATTAATGCATCGTGATTACACAAGCTCAGGCCATTTTCACCAGAATATTACAGTGTCTTAGCCATTGTTGCAACCTCTCTATTTCAGTAGCTGTTTTATCCACAAAGGGATTTGACAAGGATTCGTACCAGCTTCCAATTTAACTTTGAACGCCAGCCCCGCATTGTCACCTCTCCAGCCTACTGCTGTTTACCAAAACACAGAGGGAGAAAGAGTTCAGCTAAATAACTTCAATCAAGATGCAAAGTGAAGCAAATTTGGTATGCAAAACATGCCACTGATGAACTGAAAGAAATGTAATTATGAAGTAATATTTTCACTTTTGGTTTCAAGTTAATTGTTTGTGTCTTGGTTACCAATTACACTGAGGCATGAAGCAGTACAGATTCATTTTAGCGGAAAATGTTTTTGTCACCAGGTAAATTACTTCAGCTTCAAACAATTGCCTTTTCCCCCTCTGAGGAAGCTATTTGATGAAAGCAGGTTACGGTTAACTTTTGGATAATGACTTTAGAGAATTAACGTAGAACGGTTCTCTAACCTATCATCCAACTTCCATTCCATAAAACCAATTTACCGTCAATCAGACGGTTACCAAAAAGGGCTTTGACGGGGTAACAAATACGACATTATATCGCTATTAGATCGCTGAAGTGAACATCTCTGTGTGATTCTGACCACCAGAAACGAGTTACAGAAGCCTGGCTAATCTCCGTAATCTGTGGTGTCAAGCTGATTTAAAATTCCACCAAGAATAAATTAGAAAAGATGACAAAAAGATGGTAATAAAAATTGTGGCTCTACCCAGGATGATTTAGTGTCAGATCAGGTTAGTTTTCATGATAAAAGGCCGATAACACCATTCATCTGGAAAGTAATTTAGAGGGAAAGTTTCAATATGAAAACTCTGTGAAGCAGCAGTTCCAAATGATTAAATGAGCAGCTCTTGGTCAAACATCATATCATCACACATTATTGCATCACTACAGTTTCTAGCTTTTGGAGATGATTTCTGCCACTCGTAAGACGTCATTGATGTGACTTGAGTGGTGGTGACCTCCTTTGACATGAAAGTCAGAAATATCCTTCAAGCAAAATTAATATTGTGTGTGTTGTTGCAGGAAAACAGGTGGTTTGTGACTTGACTGATGTGCCTCATCAGCTGTGATCACTGTAGTGTGCACAAGCTTGTTTGACAAACTGATTGGAAGTTTCACACAGCTTTGTTTACCGCAAACCTCCTGCAATGGCTTGCATTTGATCAACAGTGACAAAAGATTTGTTGTTCATTGATTTTTTTATTTGCTCAATTTTGGATACATTGCGAGAAATGAGTGGTCAGATTTAACATGGAGTCTAATGGAGCAGTTGGTTGGAGTTCATGTCGCTCTATGGCTCCTTGAGCCAAAGGTGTAAGTCCGTTGGATTCCATAGACACATGACTGCGACCAGCACAGAATTTCCTATCATTTTGACCAAAATGGTGTATAAATGGTAAAAATTGTGGAACTGGAAGCAACTTGTTTGGAAAAATCACAGTATACTTTTCATGCTCTGCTCCACTCTGACCGTGATGTCATTACTCTAGCGCTGAACATTCCGTGCAATACACACCCATTATAAAATCTGAATCCGAAAATGAGTCAATATGACTAGCCATACTATCATGTTAAGGCTAAGACTTGCACATGGTGTGAGAGGATTTGTACACTTCTGTGAATACAAAATAAGGAGCTATAAAGCTGCAGGCAGAGTCCTCCCATCTCAGTCAATTTGCCATGTGCAAGTTCTCCATGCATCTGGCATGATGCACCATTAAAGTGGCAACAAACATGCCGTGAGAATCGAGCAACATGCTCAACAGCAGGTTGACTGCTGTTGGATCTGCTTAAGCGTAATTTAGTTTCTTTTATACTGCTGCCATGATTTATTTCTCCACCGTCTAATTGCTTCGTGAAATCAAGTTACACATATTAAATATTTACTGTGCATGCTACCGCCAGTCATGTGGTACGTGACTAAAACAGACATTCTATGTCGCTCAGTTGCTCCAGTGTCTAAGTGTTGTGCCTACAGAAGAAACACACTCGTGAATTTTGACGCCCAGTCAGGTGAAACCACATTGCTGCTCTCAACACAACCAGAAATACTTTAAGCATGTTGGGTCACACTGCATGTTTGTAATCATTTTTTAATTCTATGTTGCAACATTGGTACCCAACTGACTGCCAATGTAATTTTGTTTTAGGCAACCAGGCAACAATATATTTTTTTCTTCAGCACACACACAGACAGCCGCACCAAGTCTACCCCTTACCTCCAGCCCCCTGCTCAGTTACAAGCTTTAATCTGTCATTCAGATCAGTAGCCATGTCCGCCAAACCGCTGGTCGGGCACAAAGTCACGTCAAGCACAGTGTGATTCAGCTGCAACATATGGAAACACGCTCGCCCCCCTGCCGTCTTCATTAGCCACTCAGAGCAGCCATTGGAATCAGCCCTGACTGAGCGCAGGAGTGGAGGCGCAGCAGTGAATAGAAGGGACAGCAGGGATTTAAACGGTGATAGTCTTTAATTATCTTTGTAGTTGTTGAGGTTTTGCATATCAAGGCATCATGGAGTAACTGACATGTGTAAATCACTATTATTATTATTATTATTAATGTAGAAGTCACATACGGGTGAACGGGTGAACTTCATAGGTATGTACATTATAATACAATTAGTGTTACTATTATTCGTCCACTGCCTCATTAAATGACAATAAAAGATACATACAGTATAGCTTTTAAAGGTATTGTACTTTTTATGCTTAGAGGAGAGAGTAAGATATGATTTGAGTGCAAATCAAAACAAAGCATTGAGATAATAGAAGGAGCAAAGCAATAGGATATCCAAATTAAGAACAAAGTTATAAGCATCATTGGAATAGCCCCTTTTGTGCTTCCATGGTGAAAATGAAGTTGGCTCAGTCAGCCATGATTGTTTTTGATAGTTGACCCTTGACATTTATCCTTCACCCTATCAAAGCATTGACCTATTGATTGCCTTTGGTTTAGCTCAAGGTTTTGCTCAGAGTAACCACTGAACCTCAAGGGGGTCAGTGTGCTTCAAACAAAGCGCTACTGGGATCATCAAACAGCGTCTGAAAGCCCCTGCACCCACTCCTTTGAGACTGGCAACACATTTTGTCTGTACAAATGAGTTCAGCAACATGAATGCCTTTGAGGAGATGCTGTCCTAAAGTGTTGAATAATCATTGCGTCACGTCAATCTCTATGACAGCAAGCTTTTCACCCTGCCTTTGAGTGTGGCTGTTTGGGACAAACACTC